CCTCCATTGTTTTCTCTGCAGCATATCCTCCTCTGTGAAGAAGTTATTTTTACTTGACATGCCCTTTATAAATATTCCCTGAGGATTCTCTGCTAAAATTGTCTGGTAGTTTAGACAGCTTTTTCCTGTTGTGATATTTAACCTTCTTACTTACCTAACTTGGTGGCAAAGCTGTTATTTTCAGCTTATTGGACAAGCTTTTGGGTCTGTCTTTTGCCCTTTTCTTTCTTTCTTTTTTTTTTCTTTTTCTATAGAGCCATGTTGCAGCCTTCATAATTAATTAGAGGCATAAATCCTTTCCAGTTCAGCCAAATTTCATTATAGAGCTTTTATTTAGCTTCTAATAACTTTGTTTACAAAAACTGATCTGCCCTGACAATTCCCTAGGTTTTTTTTTTTTTTTTCAGACAAAGGACATTTTAAAGTGTATTCTGAGAAAAGTGTTGAAATGGTTCTCCATTTTTTATAAGTGTCTGAATTTAAATTGTGCAATTCTACTTTTAAAAAGGGCGTCGTTGGCACAGAAAGTAACTTCAGATGAGAAATTATGGAAAAAGACTGGATATTTTCTCTTAAATGAAGGACAGGCGAGCCATTTATCAGTTTGAATTTCTTTAAAGGTACCTGCTTTGTGATGCTAACCTACTAAATTTGCTGTCTCTCTTCAAACTCCTCACGCTGAGACTTCACACCTGTCAGTGGATGCTGGACTGTAGCACTTTGAACTTCTGATCTCATGGCAGACTGGACTCCCTGCACTGGAAATTGTATGTACAGTTGGGATGGGAGAAGAGTCTCTTAGAGAGAGAAACATTTTTATTACTATTATTTCTTTTTAAATCCAGAATAGTCTGGTGTTTGTGGAGTTAGTGATTTTCTTTCTCTTTGACCAAACATCCAGGTATAAAATAAATGTGCGCCAGTTTGCAGAGCATAAGACAAGCAAAGTGCTAAAGATGCTGAGTGGATGTCAGTTATTTTCTAGAGGAGTGAATGTAAAGTTTCATCTGCATACAGGGATTCAAAATTTTGATGATCCATGAGAGTGTTGGCCCAGAATTTTGAAAACTATGCCACTTTGGAAGTAACAAACTTCCAGGGCATACTTATCTTTCATCTGACCTCACCACCTGCACTGTGAAACACTGAGGCTGAAGTACAGGTACAGCTCTTGTACCAACCCCTCTCTAGTTCCCCCCAAACTGGCTTTCCATTGAAGGGACAATTTGCTGAAATGTGGGCAAGTTAAGTCAAGCATGAAGATTTACCCAAGGATTAGGCAAGTCCGGAGCACGGATCAACTCTACTTGCTCAAGTAGGGACAAAAGGTTCATGGATGCAACCCTGCTGAGTGCAACAGGAGTCTGAAAAAATGTCTCTGTTCAGAACAAAGCTTCCTGTTGTGTGTTTGTTTGTGTGTGTGTTTGCAAAACCCAATTGTTCTTGTAAAAACAAAGAAAAAACTCTACTGTCTGTAGAGTTGTCAGGACTTTGAAAAATATATTTCAAATCTGTGTGAAAAAAAAAGTAGTTTCATTGTGTTCTATTTCTTGAGATAATGCAGTGTAATAGCTGTAAAAGTGCAGGTTTCATTTTGATATACGCTTTCTTAAAAATGTGCCCATCACCCTAAGTAGCAATATTTGCATTAAATGATGCATAGTTAAGACTGTAATGTTTAACACGATATCATAAGAAGTTGTAACAGAAGGTAAAATACAGTAAAATAATATTGGTTCTTTTAACAAATCAATTTAGAAAAAACTTGTAGAAACATAAAACTGCCAACTTTGTGTTTATGCAACACACTTACTTTAGCAACCAAAATATAGATACATATGAGAAGGAACAAACAAAAGTAAAATGATACTTCTGTTATTATTGCTGCTCATATTGTCAATCAGTGTTATCTGACATTGGAGATGGATGGTGGATAGAGTCGAGACAAAAATCTCTGTGGACTGGGACTAGAAAACTCATATTAAAAAGAACAAAAAGAAAGAAAAAATAAAGGAAAAATTAAAAATTAATCTTCTTTGGGTAGCAACTATATTTTTTATGAAGAAGTTCTTTTCACAAAAATGCTTTCACCAACTGGACAAAAGAAAGGATATGAATGTCCATAGTCTGGCCATATCTTATTAATTCATTGGATTTTCAAAGTACAGTGTTGGATTTCAAATTACATAAAATAGAAAAAGAGGGCAATTTTCAAAATTTTATCTTCTCTTTCATATCTGGACTCCAGTTCCCCTTCTATCTGCGATGGAGTCTTTATTCTCATGGAAAGGAGTGTCTTGATTTTCTTGATTGTAGGCAACTTAGCTATTGTTTCTAAGCAGAGAAGATTCAGGGCTTGTTTGGGTGGGGCATTTTCATCTTGAAACCAAAGTTATTTAGAAGTGTAAAAATCTTACCCCACCCCTCCACCCCAGTTCTCTACATTATGCTATGAAAGACTAACGAGTTAATAGTAATATGTTTTAAAAACCCTGTCAAATCGCAGTCTTTCACCGGTGGTTGACCCTGCAGCAGGAGCAGTCTGTGATGGATGGGGCGTGGGGTGAATCGCATAGAAACTGCAATAAATTTTCCTTGCCAGTTTTCAAAATTGCTTATCAAAAGGCAAGGCAGGGACAGTAGATACAGAACAAAGTATTTTGCATGTATATATACATGTAGATGGTATATACAGGTGCTGTACATGGTAACTGAAGAGTTTCCAATTTGCACAGCAACTTTGCATAAATTGTTCTGCCCATGAGTTATATTTGTTTGGGCTTTTTTTCTTGACAGCCAGACTACTAAATGAAGACTGTCTTGGAGTTACTGAAGCCTATTGAAAGTAGGATATCTGAAATGGCACAGCACAGCACAGCAGCATTCATGAAATGCAGACAGGCTTCTTGAAATTGCAGTGGTAAATGGACTACTCTAATTACTATTGTCAAAGTTTGCTAGTCTTTACTTAGGCTGAGCAGTACCATTTTCTGTGAATAGTCACACTGAATTCACACAGGAACTTCTCCAGAATAATATGACAGGAAAAGTGACAAGAAATTTAATAGAGAATTTTGGCTACCATATAGTAAAGCAGAATGCAGGAAACCTGGAGATATCTCTGTGGTGCACAAGACGTGTAAAGGTATACTGAGGGTATAATTAAAAACTACACCACATACAACTCAAAACAGGGTAAGAAAAATTGTCTTTTGAGATTTTTATAGTGTCAGTGAGTAAAGGCAAAAAAAAGCTGTGAGAGAGTCTGACAGATATCAGGGAGCCTGTACGATGGAAGAGTCCTGGGAATCCTCTCAGCAAGAGAGGGAATTACTCTTAGCTCTTAGTTCTGTAATATTTTCCTTGCATTTTTGCCCTGAGAACAGGAGAGTCAGCCAGACTCCTTTGGAAGAATCTTTAACGGAGAAAGAAAAAGAACTCATTTTCAAACCCCAGCCTAATTTGTGGAGGTGGAAGTCAAAGCAAAGACAGAAACCTTGCCCTATACTTCTGAGTTTTATACAAAGTAGGTTTGACCTGCCACTGCTAGGGAGGAATAAATAAAGCAACCCATGAGATTAGCCTCTGAGGCATTTTTGTGACCTGATCTTTTCCTGAAAAGCAGCAAATTCTCCACTCTGGAATGAGTTTCTTTCTGCAGCAGAACAGATGGAAATATCAGCTCTAGTTGTTCTATCAAAAGAAGTTTTTTGTCTCCATTTCCAGTAATATGATAATACTTCAACATCTTTTCTATTAAAGCCTCATTGTTAAGGAAAAATATTTAAACGTTTTTAGTAATTGGCAAGTCTATTATTTGAGTTTGCCAAGACAACAGGTAACTTTCCTAAGCTATTTTGTTCCTACATTTGTATGTACCCATGAAGTCAATGAAGCAATATTGAAGCTTTGCCAAGCCCAAATGTCCTTCAAAACATTTTCAGAAAGTGAAAGAATGGAAACAAAGTAATATAAATACAGGAAAAGTAGACTGATGAGAAATATAAAAGTTGCCATTAGCTTTGGATTTCACTTCACTATTAATAACATACCCCAGAACTCAAGTTACTATAGTAGCCCAAAAAAATTGTTGTACAGTGCTTCTGTACAACAAACCCCACCCTATTCAACAGCTCTGCAGTTTCTCTATATTTTTGCTCGGGTCAGAACTTCTGGGAAACTATCAAAAGGACAGTGAGGTGAAGCAAAAGAGTCCTACTGGCTATTGAGATTCAGAATAAGTAAGAGCTTTTATCAGCTCATAGGGATTAAAAATATACATACCAATAGCTCCTTATAACTGCCAGTGTAATAGTATAGCAGAAAGAAGAAAATATTTATGGGTCCCAAGGGCTGTAACTTTTTAAAGATTGTTACCTTCTTGGAAAGGTATCTTTGGTGACTTTGGCCACCTAAAGGGTTGTGCTGTGCTTAATGCCGAATAACAGCTGAATGACATCTGGGAGGTAAAATCAGTTTGTTTGTTTCCTGTTATCACTGTCCTCCCTTTCTTCTTCAGAGTCAAATGCCATTGCTTTGCGGAGGAACTAGAGGAAGGCTTTTAGTTTTAATTGCCTTTATGAGCCTGAAGGTTACTCGCCACAACACACAAACCTACAGTACTGGAAAAGAGGAGGAAACTGTGGGTTTAACAAAGCCCATCCCATCAACCTGAAACTACTTTGCATCAAAAAAACCCTGAATTTGAGACTTGTTCTTGATTTTACAGTGTCCATGATTTTTTTTAGTTCAATTACCTTCGTCCTTTTGAATGCTCTACTCCCCCTCACTTTGTGAATCTGTGCAGATCCAGATCCCAGAAACTGGCTGTGGTTTGGTGAATCCCACAACCACTAACGTATTAGGACCATTTTGCTGAATGTACAGGGAAATTGGTGAAAACAATAAGCACAGAGTGCTGACAAACAAACTAAACAACCAGCACGACACGGAAAACCAACACTTGTCCTTTATGAAATTTTTAAATTATTTTTTAACAGGCCTGGCTGGCAGGAGAAGTGGCCATGAACCATTCAGGTGAGGATTTGAGTCTTAAGACAGAGTATCTCTAACTTTCATCAGTTTCCTCACTGCACTGAGGATTTTTCCTTATGCATAGAAAAGGCAACCTCATTTATCCTTGACTGAGAATCACATTTTAACAATGGAATTAGCTATTCCCTGCATTACAATGACTTGCTTTCTGTAATTTGCCATTAATATGCTTCTACCTGAACAGTGCAAAATGTGAATTAAATTGCCACAGGGAAAAATGATGAACCTATACTTTGATTTAATCTAAAAGCAGACAGTTATAGTCTCTGTCCTCATAATAATGTTCTTCCCTCTCTTCCCAAAAATTTTACTTTGACTTGTCTAGGTTTTCTTTTCAGTTTGTGAAAAAGTGCAGCATGTAATGTTGACCACTCTTAGAATTATAAAATATACATATTTAAATAAATAATATAATGTTATATAAAAATTATATAATTATATAAAATATTTTGATGTATCAAATCATAGAATTGTTAAGGTTGGAAAAGAAGTCCAAGATCATCAAGTCCAACAATTAACCTAACATTGTCACCTAACAATTAACCTAACACCACTATACCACGTCCATAAGCACCACAACTACCTGTTTTTTGAACATTCCACGGGATGGTGATTCCACCACCTCCCCATAGCTACACATTAATTAGTAATTATGACAAAATATAATTTCATAATAATTTTAAAAGTGGTAACAATAATTATCACTGGTTTATAATCAAGTCTTTTCCCCCTTCCCCCATTCCCACAATGAAAGGGTTAAGACAACATTAAGGATTCAGCTGAATCTCAAAAATAAACCCCAGTAGGGAGATCATGCTGAAAAGTGATTTTTAACTTATTGCCTAGTCCAAAGTATATCTCTGGCACTTGTCTAATGCTGTACCTCTATAGACTATAGTGCTTCCAAGAATACACACACTTTTGCTACAGTCTGACAAAGCAGAGATAAACTTTGCTCCTTCTCTTGGCTGATCTCTGTCCTTGTGGAACACAACTGCTTAAGCCATTTAAAAGGGAAAACATTCTTATATCTGTGGCTTCACCAGCTGCCTGCCTTTTCTCTGAAATCAAGGAAAGCGAATATTTCATGGAAAACTGTAAAATGCAAATGCCCAAAATACATAAATAGGTTCTTTGATTAAGGCAACATATATTGATGATGTTTTATGCAGAGTGTTTTTTCTCTCTCTCTCTCAAACTGTTATTTGTTAGATATTTGTAATGATCTGAGGCACCAGACTCCTTTTTATGTGATATTTTTATGTGCATTGCTAAGTGGTCTGTCTAGAAAACAAGATTATGTGATCTGTGTTGCATTTTGTACCATCCTTTGAGTCATAAATTCAGCTTGTTTGTGATGACAGCAAAGATGTTGGTAACGCATTCCAAGATATAAAATAGCCACCTGGCATCAAATTATTCCCATTTCACCTCTAATAGGGCTCCAGTTTTTGTTGATAAGCCTTGATATAGAAAGGAGTGGAGCAGGAACACAGTCAGGTTCCATAGCAGATCTCTGGACATATGTGTTGGTTTTCCTGCTATTGGTGGAAGGATGGGGAAAGTGGTGTTGGAGTTTCCCACTGCCAAAATAAGTCACCTCCCTAATGCAAATGCCTGCAGCCCCTCCTGCAGGAATCAGTGCAGGGCTTGGCTCCTCAGGGCCCTGGTGGAAAGGCAGCAGGATTGATGTCCCTTTGCCCTTGACAGCTGCTTACTTTATCCCTGGCTCCAACTGGTTCTTGGGGTGTGTATTTACCTTAAAGAAGAATTTTGAGGAGTCTCTCATATGTGTCTCTCATGGGACATAAAAGATGCATTGTTTTCACAGTTAAATATGCTAACAATTAAAAAAAAAAGAAAAAAAAACCAAAAATTATTTTCCCTGTTGCAAACACAGAGAAAACTGGGTGACAGGTGTGTCCTAACTCATTCTGGCTTTCTCATGATCTTAACGAACATTAGTTCTCTATGAAGAATTTCTTCTTGCTCCAAATTCTGCTTAACAGAAAATATACTGTTTTCATCCATTTATCTTAGTTTTCTGTCCTGCAGTGAGGCAAATGTTTTCCTGGTGATGGACAACGTCATATATTAATAAAACCACCTATGTGTTATTTATTATTATTTCCTGTTTTTTATCTGCTCCTCTTGGAATGCAGCGCACAGACTGGGCATGGTAAATAAGTCTCTTTTATCAGTGAACATTCCTCCATATTAAATCTCTCATTCATTCTGGAATCTACAGGCAGCTTAAAATATGCCTCATGTCTGTGCTGTCACAGCCTGGAGACACATTGCAAGGCTGGGAAGAGATTGACTTTCTGATAGCTATCTGTTTGTGATAATAGCATGGAAGGAGTGTCAGTCATACTGCCCACATCTGCTCCAGCTGGGGAAGAAGCACAGTCTGATCATTTTTATGGCTAGGGTGAGTATATTGGGCAGAACCCCAGCTGATAAGCAAAAATGATGATGTCGCTCTCTTTATCTCAATGTATATTCATAATAAATTATTCTAAATATCCTGTTGTCTAAAGCAATTGCAGCATATAAAAGCAAATTTTTCCTCCCTAAGTGTTTCAGAATCGTCACTGGCCTCTCACATAACTACTGAAAAGTTACCCTGTTTGAGACATGTATCCATTCTTCCTTTGCCCTATGGAGCACGCTGCACTGTCACTGCAGAGACCTGGGTTCGACTCCCAGTTGGGGCCACTCCCTGGGCAGATGGAGCTCGTTAGCCCTGTAAGGCAATCCATCTACGTCCTGAGGACCTCGCTGCCACCGTCCAAGCTCACTTGGCCCCGGCAGATGAACCTCAGGATTAAAGGGTGGGCTCAGTTCCGCGCACACTGTGTCTCACCTAAAAAATCCAATGTGCAGGCTGGAAGGTGTAAAGACCTTCCTCGGTTCTTCGTTCGTGAAGACTGGCCATTACATTACTAAGTGTCCACAGTTTCATAGGTCCTGCTCCTTCACACAGGGAACTGCCAATTTTTTGAGCCTCAGAAGTGGAAAACATGTCAAGAGCATTTTGGTTCTCCTCTTGCTTCGGTAATATTTACTCAGACAAGCATATACAGGCCTTACTTTCCATTTCAGCTGAATCTAGCAACACCACCATGCAGTGTTCCATCTCTCCTGTGGCCCTATTTATACTTTGGCATGTTTTCTTGTCTAGAACTAAATGCTATTTAAAACATTTGTCTTACCTTCTTCCTAAACATGTGTGTTAGTAAACATGTGTGTTTAACCAAGGGCAGGAGAGAAAGGAAGGAGAATGCTCAGCTTTGTTTTGGTTTTTGGTCTCCATATTTGCTTACATTTGTTGTGTCCCTTACTACCAAAGCAAACTCCTGGCCATGAACATTCATTTCTTCAGAGCTCATTGACACATACATGGGGGAATAAGATACTCTCTTTCAGTCACTTGCTCTTTTAAACCTTCCTGTAGCAGCAGACTACACAATTATCTTTCCCTGCATCTATTAATCTCAGTAAAAAAATCTGCCACAAAATGCTAAAGCACCGTAAATCAACAGGGTTTCACTGATTTAAATAGAGGTTTGATCACATCTGCCATCTGAAGGCTGATTATCTTGGTGGTGGTCTATCATTTAAAACCTTAGCTATTACCTTACACAAGATTTTTCCAGCTTCATTTTCATTGCTAATGGAATATGGCAAGCTTTACCTTCTAAGAGGCCCTCCCGTGAATCTGGATTTGGAATCTCTTTCTCTGGATTCCAGTGCTCAGATTGATTAGAAACCATTTGATGTGTCCCTAAATGATTCTGAGTCACAACATAATAGCAATTTCATATTCAAAAACTGATTTTCATGACATAGCTTTTATCAAGGATGTCACTAGGAGACCTCCAAACAGTTTGTAATTTATTTAGGTTTAAATTTGCCTTTGTCATTAACTACAGGCTGCATAAATTTGCTAGGATCTTAAACATATTTTTAAGGAAACCTGTTAGCACTTGGCTAGCCCAAACTGGTATGGTCTTTGAAAAGATTAGTTTTCCTGATGGTATTAAATGATATAGCGAGTAGGGGTCCTCCTTAATTAAATAGTAAGAGAGAGTTTTAAAAATAATATTGTCTTCTAAATCATATGGAAAGAAATACAATGGAGATTAAAACAATGATACTGTAATCAGTTACTGGATATGTTCAATATTACCTCTGAACAAACAATATTAGTGTTACCAAGCAGTAAATTTTTATTTTAATATTTGAAAAGGTTTAGCTGAAGTACTAGGAGAAATAATTTATCAGTCTTACCCTACACCTTCTGAATAAGAGTGGTTTCTATGAGGTTTACCATCTCTTTTAGTTCCTCATTCCTACTTCAGTATTATTAAAGTTTTCAGTATTAAAAATTAGAGAAAAATCTGGAGAGAATATGAATTATTAAGATTCTGAACTAGCCAAAACCAGTTACCTCAGAGTAACACTTTTGTGTGTTTATATGATGCACATCAGTGGCTTCTTGGCAGTGGAGGTAGATGCAGCATGGAAGGCCTCCAAGTTCAAAGGTGGCCATTTGTTTTCCCTTCTTATTCATCACTTATTCTTCCCTTTTCATTCTTCTCATTCAAAACTTTTCCATGGATTCTTCTGTTCCTGTGATTATACTGGTGGCTTCCAGAGGCAATTATGAATTATGAAAATTAAGCAGCTGCTTTGTGAGGGGAGGTAAAGCACTTGAAGAGACAAAAAGCTGGATAAAAGGAAGGATACAAGAAGGACTAGGGATGGAGTGTCACAGACACTGGACAGGGATTTGACATTGTTCACAGCTATTTGGAAAAATAAGTATGTAAAAGCAAGAGACCATTGAGAAATTCCTGGGGCACCTCATGAAGCTCCTTCTTTTCAATCAGTGATGGCAAAAGAACTTTTTGCTGAGAAGTATTATTTAGTGCATGGATGGAGGAATTAATTTAATTATTTCACTAGATTTTTTTTTTAGTTAAAAAAAGTCCAAGAAAAGACGGAATTAGACATAAATGATCTCTGTCACATGGGAATAAATGGTAATCTACCTTAAAATTTGTCAGTTGTAACTAAATATAAGATCTGAAATGTCTTTGTACCATTTCCCAAGGTTTTTCAGGACATAACCCTAGACTGAAATATCATAAAATAGTTAATGTGTCCAAATATAAAGTGAAAATTCAACTGTGTTTGTTTAAGATTGGCAGAAATAGAAATGGAAATTGAAGTAAATCATGACTCATAAATGATGAGATTCAAAGAGGTAGACATGATTGCACATGTCTACCTCTTTTGCACAGTTGGTATTGAGTTCAAA